GTTAAAAGATTTTGGTCTAGAATCATTTTACACAGAGAAAGTACCTTTGAGGTAATCCAGTTGAAAGAAATCATCCAAACAAAAAAATGACAGCTGCAACAAGCATGGACTGAAAGTATGAAAAGTTGTTAAAAGCTGCAACATGCTGAATAGAACAGGTATTTTCTTTTTTTTTTTTTCTTTTTATTATTAAGCAGCAAGGGTTCTTGCATATTTTCTTTCCTTTCTTTGTATTCTTTTACGTAGCGTTTGGTATTTTTATAAGATTATCATGATAATATAATTATCGAAATGATCTTATTATCAAAGTGATTTTAACACTCGTAATTTAAAATTATTTTATTTAGTTAACAATGATTAATTTTTAAAAATTAAAGATTATTATATTTGATATTACCAAATATCAAATATTAATTTGTTTAAATATATGAAAATAATCTCACATATTGTAATAGCTATATAAATTAATAATTTTATGATTGTTTAAAGATAATAATTTTTAAAATATTAATAATATTTATTTATTTTATAATTAAATATAATTAAATTATTAAATTAATAAATATATTTATTGATAGGTAAATTTATTTTTATACTATAAATTATGAAAAAATATTTAAATTAAAAAATGAAACTGATCTATTAAATTCATAATAAAAGAAAAAGAAAAAATTATATTATATATAAAATAATGAAAAAGTAAAAAAAACTATACAAATTATTTTTAGCTTGTTATAATGAATATTAATTGAAAAGTATAAAAATTTATAATATAAAATAATTATAATTTTAAAATATAACAAGATTTTAATTTATATATTAAATGAGTAAAATTGATTATTATTAATTATATATATCACTCGATGATAAAAATTTTTCATTTTTTTGTATGAGAATTAAATTATCATCCAAGATCATTCACATAAAATCATTAAATATTTATTAAAAACAATAATATAATTAACATACGTAGATTACCATAATTTTTAAAAATGGTGACCCTATCCCAAACACCAAGCGATTCAGTTTATCGGCCTTAGAATGGCACCCTTTATTGCAAGTCCACTTTTCCAGTGGCCCCCACTTTCGTAGAGATCAAAGCAAGCTTCTCCTGTTTCACCATTCTCCCCTGTGCAGAAATGGCCAAGACTGAGCTCCATCCATTGCCCTCTAGGCTTCTGCAAGAGACTAACTTGACGCTCCCAAACTTTTCCATCAGGGAGAGATAATTTAAGCTACACAGGAAGTTCCCAACCGGATGCCTTTTTCGTTAACATGACTACGTACACAACTTCATATACAGTTCCTGGCAAAAGGTCTCATATTTTGAATTTTCCTTTCACTTCCAGCCAACAAACAGTTCTTAGTCTGGCTACTTCAATTTTCTCATCACTGCATATCACGAAACAAATAACAAGCATGACCACATGGCAATTGACAAATGACAAAAACAATGATTCCCCTGAAAATATTCTCTGAATCTTACCTTTTTCTTTAAAACTTTCCCACATCCGATATTCATGGTGACTCCAATTGATGTGGAGTGACCTTGCATACAGCACGAAGCATTTGTGATCAGACTTTGCATCCTCCCAAGATTTCTGCGTGATGGTTTGGAATAGAAAATAATAATAAAAAAAAATCTTTCATCTCAGTTTCACACATTAAATTATCCAGACCTAGGTACAATTCAACTTATTTGCAAGTACTAATATAGGAAACAAGAGAGAGGGAGAGGGAAACAAACCTTCATCTTGTGCTGAGGGAGGACCTCATCGGTGTCAGTTGCTACTGCCTTTCTCTTCAAATTCATGGTTATGTTCACAACAAAAGCAAAGATGTCCACACTCTTGAATACAAAAAACAATGTCAAAGGGACTTAAAACGTGGGGAGCAACACAGAGGAGAAGCTGCAACATGTAAGAAGGTACCAAGAAAGATACTTGTCTTTTTGTCTAGTCAGCCTCTATTGTAGTTAATTAGTAGAAAAATTTACGGTTTACTCTAGGACGCATGAGGACAGGACTTTAATGAAGTCATCAGTTTTGTCTGAAGGATTGCATTGAACGATCTTGACTTTTCATTCAAAGGTGAAAAGTTCGCAGAAGTAACCCTTAAATGAGTATTTATCATTCACTATTTTTTTTTTTTTTAGTAAAAAACAAAATTCGAGATAGATTGCTCAGTCCCCCGATTAGGGTTAGATGTGTTGTAACTGATAGCTTGTGCATTCGAGATGGCATCAACAGGACTCGAACCCAAGACTTCTTCATTGAAAGGGATAAACCTTAACCATTGAACCAACCACTTATTGGTTTATCATTCACTATTCAAAGTTAGACTTGTGAGGGAAAAAAGGGTGGAAACGTCCATCATAGAAGCACACTAGTTATTGAAGAAAACAAACGAATTCTCTGCAAATAATCAGATGATGTGCATCATACTATAAAGGAGCTGTGGATGAAACATTTCTGGAAGTCATCATTATCATCAGATTTTATCTGATTCTCTAAGAACTCGTGGAAAGACTTTCCCAGCACTTTGACCAGAAATTTTCTGGGAAATTCACGGAAGTATGGAGGCAATCGCCAATCAGTCAGGATGGCTTGCAATATTTCACCATCTGCTTACCAATAGAAGAAAAGACTAGTTTAGAGTCACATAGGATATAATGCTAACTTTGATGTCAAATTTAGCATATGTAAATAATTTCTTTTACTTGGTCCAGGCATCAGCAGTGCCGTGTGAGGTACTTATACTTGTGCAAGGAGGTGGAAATTTAGTAGTAAACTCACCTACTCTTCTAGTGTCTCTTCAGTGTTTGAATTTTCTATATACATACAGAATAAGAAACTGAATGATATATCATCCTTTTTAACTGAGTTTCTATTTTTTCTTAAACATATTTCTTGTTGGTGAGTTCTTGTGTCACCTTTCCATATAGAAGATAATGAATGAAGCAAACCATATTGATCAATACTTTTTCTGTTTTGCAGGGGTTCTGATTAATAAGCTATCAAGAGTTATGGGTGATCCAGCTTCAATTTTTGTGCAGCCTCTAGTGAGTAATATCATTGACCCTGCTGGATTCTTGATCAAGGAAGGGTTTCTTGCAGTCCAGGGTGTCAAGAAGGAGGCAGAAAAGCTGTCAAGCAATCTAATCACCATCCAATCTGTGCTTAAAGATGCAGAGGAGAGGCAACTGGATGAACCACCTGTGAAACACTGGCTTGCAGCTTGTGACATAGAGGACACACTGGACACCTATGCAACAGAAACTTTCCTTTGGAAGAGAGAGCAGCAGGTACGCAGTTTCTGACCTCCATTCAGTCTAAGCAAGGCTTGCTTTGAATCCAATGTAGCACATAAGATCATCGAAATTTCAGCAAAACTTGCTGCAATTGCTGAACGGAAAAACAAATTCCATCTCAAAATAATTAGTGATTGTGGAAAGTCCCAAAACCTTCCAGACACCACTTTCTTTTTGGACACAGTAAATGTCTTTGGTAGAGAGTCTGATAAACAAACATTAATAAATCTGATGCTGTCAAATGAATTTGACATGGAAGGTGATGTTTCTGTCATTCCTATTGTGGGGAAGGGAGGCAACAGGCAAAACAACTCTAGCTCAACTTATCTTCCATGATGAGAGAGTAAAGAATCATTTTGATTCTAGGATGTGGGTTTGTGTCACAGTTGAGTTCAATTATAGAAGGACACTCAAGGAAATGATAAAATTTCTCACAGAAGTGGAGTATTCTAACGAGTTAGACACAAGCCAACTAGAGGCACACATTAAAAATTCTTGGCTGGGAAAAACTTTCTGCTTGTTTTAGATGATGTTTGGATTGAAGATTACCGAAAATGGGAGCCACTTCAAAACCTTTTGAAACAAGGAGGTAAGGGCAGTAGTGTTTTGGTCACCACTCGAATCACCAAAGTGTCAGACATTATGGGAACACAACCTCCCTACAGATAGGATTATTTAACCGAGGGTGAATGTTGGTCATTGCTTAAAAAAATTGCTTTCAAAGACTATATTTCATTGGGTGGCATCCAAGCAGAATTGGAAAACATTGGTAGGAGAATTCTAGGGAAGTGTAACGGCTTGCCATTGGCAGTAAAGGCAATGGGCGGTCTCCTGCGTGGTAATGTTGATGTAAACAAATGGAAGAAAATCTTAAAGACATAACATTTGCGAGCTAGAGGATGGGAACTTTGACAGGCCTAAAATTCTGCCTGCCTTAAAATTGAGTTATGACCACCTACCTTCTAATCTAAAGCAGTGTTTTGCATATTGCTCCTTATTTCCAAAGGCCTATGTTTTTGATAGAAAGGAGTTGGTCAAGCTTTGGATGGCTGAAGCATTCATTCAATCAAATGCACAACAAAGTTTAGAGGAGGCTGCAATTGAATGTTTTGATGAATTGTTAATAAGGTCTTTCTTTCAAATTTTAAACATAAACAACAAGGTGGGATATACCATGCATGACCTTATTCATGACTTGGCTCTATCAGTTTCAATCCCCCAATGCTGCCAAGTCGAGCATGGCAAATCTGGAATTTTCTGTGAAGAAACTCGTCACGTTTCATTTCAGTCTGCAGATATAGAGAATTCTATCTTACAGATTGTTGAAAATTCTAAAAAACTGCGGACATTCCTACAGCATGGTGAAAACGTGAAAGACCTGGTGCAGATTCTTGATAACATGTTTCATTCTCAAAAATACATTCGTGTTTTGGACCTAAGTTTAAGCAATATTGTACAATTGCCAAGTTCTATAGAAGAGTTGAAGCTACTACGGTACCTGGACCTCTCTAGAACACAGATCAAATTGCTTCCCAACTCGATTTGTAACTTTTACAATCTGCAGACACTTAAACTTCTAGGGTGCCTTTGGCTTTGTGAATTGCCCAAGGACCTTGGCGACTTGGTTAACCTACGTTATCTTGAGCTAGATGAGATATTTTGGTTCAACTGCAGGATGCTGCCATAAAAAATGGGAAACTTAACCACTCTAAAGAAATTGAATGCATTTCTTGAAAGTGGCACAAGTGGACATGGAATTGCAAAACCGAAGGACATGGCATACCTTACTGAGGCGGCATACCTTACCGCACTGCATACGTTAAAAGCCAGGAAATGCAGTGAATGAAGCGGACACAAATTTAAAGGAGAAGAAGAGCCTCCAGAAGCAGGTTTTAGACTGGAGTGGTAGAGACTTCAACGAAAAAGATAAAGTCAAAGCAGAGAGGGAGCTTAAAGACCTCAAACGCCACTCAAATCTCGAAGATCTGGCAATCCATCACTTTATAGGCTCGAATTTTCCTTCTTGGAAGACAGATGGTTTGCTCCAAAATTTGGTTACACTTTCCTTATATCATTGCACTAAGTGCAAAATATTGTCTCTCGGTCAGTTACCCTGTCTTAGAGGGCTCTACATCAACGGGATGCAGGAGCTTGAGGAATGGCCAGAAGATCAATACACCTCATTGTGTACGCTGCATATTATAAACTGCCTCAAGCTGAGGAAGGTACCGAGCTTCATGTCCCATTTAAGATTTCTCAAGGTAAAGAGGTGTGACTCGTTGAAGGCTCTTCCAATGGCTCCCTCTCTGTTGTTTTTAATACTTATTAACAACCTTGTTCTGGAGGATTGGCAAGAAGGAAAGTGCATCGCCCAATGTGATCAAGGCAACCTTGTTGGCCTACCCAGTCCTGCTTTTTTTGGTCCTTTGGAATTGAAACTGTTAAACTGCCCCAAGATCCAAGCACTGCCTCGACTATGTGCTCTACAAAAACGGGAGATAAGTGGATGTGAACTTGTAAGTGTCTTTCCTGTCCCACAGGTTGCTCAGCGTCTTCTGCATTTAGCTCTAGACACATGTTCTAGTGTAACACTAGTGAGGGCAATACCCAATACTCTCCACTCTCTGGTCATTTCAACATCTCAGACCTAATCTTTTTCCCGAAACTACCCCATCTTCTGGGTCTTAAGGCTTTTTACATTAGTGGTTGCAAATCCCTCACTTTTCTGTCTGAAGCAAAAGAATCCTTGCAAAGCCTGTCCTCTCTCCAACTACTCTCAATTCAAGGCTGTCCAATGCTTGAATCATTGCCAGATGAAGGTTTACCAACAGTACTTGAGTGTCTGATGATTGGCTCATGCCCGCTTCTAAAGTCTCTAGGTGCCAAAGAGACCTTAAAGAGCCTCCTTTTACTCAAGGACTTGTGTATGGAGGATTGTCCCTTGATCCGGTGCTTTCCTGAGGAGGGGCTTCCTCTCTGCAACATTTGAAGATTCATGGGTGTCCCCTATTGATAGAAGAATGCCAGAAAGAGGGTGCAGGAGCTACAGAATGGTCAAAGATCATTCATGTTCCAGACCTGGAAATTGATTCCATCAAGCTATCTTCCACCCAGATGCGCCAAAGAACAAAAGAAGGATTCGTTGATTTGTTTGCTGTAAAGGTTAGTACGATATTCCTTTCTAATATTTTTCCGTCAAAAAATATTTAAAAATAATTGATTTCTTCTGTTCCTTGCAAACAAGACTTAGTTTATTTTCTCCTCTGCTCCATAATCACATAAAAGTTTGAATTTCATTTGGTCAATACCTAAAGCAGTTAGTCAAAGTTGGCCATTAATCCAAGCAAAGATTCCTTTTATATGTATACAAATATATAGTAGCTTAGAATGAAAAGATTCCTTCCAATGCTATGTTAGAAGACAATCCAAGCTATTTAGTTCATAGAAGTTACCGAGGAAAATAGTAAGCCATTCCAAGCAAGTATACTGGCAAATTAAGCGGAAACTTTCTAGGAAACAATGTCACAGGTGTAGTTGCATGCTTTCAAAACTAAGTATGCAAAATAGGTTTATCTATGAGGAGAAAAATGACGGACAAATAGTGTCAACTCATTACCCAAGTAAGTTCCACCACAGTATAAGACAAAAGTTCAATATGAACTTTATATACTTCTAACCTTGCTGACATTAAATTAACTCACATCAATGGTATGTGGATGATCATCTAATCATGCAGGGAGAGAGAGAGAGAGAGAGAGAGAGAGAGAGAGAGAGAGAGAGAGAGAGAGAGAGAGAGTTATTGCTACAAAGGATGCCTGTATACATTGTTCTTGTTGTTGTGGGAAATTGGAATCATCATGAATACTCGTTGATAGATTAGGCTTACAATGTTATGTTGAGCTATGTTTAGGGGTTAATATCAGTGACTGCAAAGGCCTCACTTCTTTGTCTGTAGAAATAGGGTCATCGAAAAGCTTGTCCTCCCTCAAAATGCTCTCTATCCGAGGCTGTTCAAAGCTTGAATCATTGACAGATGAAGGACTGCCAACAGCAATTGACGGTCTGGTGATTGCCTCATGCCCCATTCTAAAATCTCCAGATGCCAAAGAGACCTTAAAGAGCCTCTTACTCAAGGACTTATATTTGGATGATTGTCCCAGTCCTTTCCTTGAGGATGGGCTACCTACCTCTCTTGGCCAAAGATCATGCATGTTAGAGACCAGGTAATTGATTCAATCAAGCTCCCTTCAGCTGCTGATTTGCAAAAGAAGAAATCAAAGATTCCTCTATTATTTTTAGTAAAGGTGAGTACCTTTTTTGTCCTTGCTTATATTTTGAACTTAAACAAATAAACAGTAAAAAACCATTTACGAAACTTATTCTTCCTTTGCTAATTATTCTTGTTTATTTTGTTATAAATATAAGTTCTTTTAAGAGAAAAGAAAGATAAGGATCTGAGAATATAAAAGTTCATATTCTTTGTTAGCTTAAAGTATTACTCCTTAATGTAGCTTAAATAAGAAAAGCAGATTCTCTAGTCTACAGGATAAAAACTTGTTAGTATTTTAATTTTTAATCCAATGGTAATTGCCTCTAACATAAAACTTTAACTTCTTTCCAAGGGTAGATGTTAATTGAAGTCTGAAGAACAAAAATTAATTGCTTTAAGCATAAAGATGGACCAACTAATGCATGTATGTGTTTTGCAGGGCTGTAAAGTTAATGGCGATTCAAGGAATTGCTTTCGAGATTCAAGGATACAACAATCAACCATACTTGTCCAGAGGCAACAGAAGGATAGATAGCATTTCAAATCAAGGTCATGATCAACAACTACCATTCTGCTAATGATAAGAATAAATTTCTTTATCCGCTAGCATTTCACATGGAGTAAAACCATTATTGGTAAAACTCTTCCAAAGTGAGTTTTCATGTAATATGTACAGAAATGTTTTAAATAAAATAATCATACAAAGTTAGCATGCAATTATTCCTACAACAGTCTGATGGAGATAAGGAGGAGAGAGGCTCCAGAAAAATGCACTTCAAAAGAACTTAGCTTTCATGAAGTTTTCTGGGGGGAAGCTTATGAATTCTTACCACATAGATTCTCATGGCAATTTTCTCCCATGCTCAAAGAGTGAAAACAGCATATCATATTGATCCCTCAACCTGTAGATGATCAATGGTTTGGATCTCAACATCATTTCATATTCGGCCTGTTACCAATAATCTCTGCATGAACACTCTCCGTCTTTGAAATGGTGAAATCTGCTATTATCCCTCACGATTATCTCTCTTTGAACAATCTTTGGCATGAACTTTATAGCTGTGTGGCTGTGTGGCAGTCCACACAAATGCGACACAAATGCGAATGTTCTTGGTTAATCGAATTGTTGTCCCAGCAGGAGTGCTAATGATGCCAAAAGCTAAAGCTATTCTCTCACTATGGCTAAATAGCAAGTATTTCTTCTGCTTCTCCTCAACATCACGGAAAACCTCATTTGTGTCAGGAATATACCCTTCTCGTGCAATCCACTCCATAAGATCTTGCAATGCCTTAAATATTCTGTCATAAAGAGATGTGATCTATCTCCTGATATGAAAGTATGAACCCTGTTTTTAACTTCTGTCCAACTGCAAGCTGGTTCCTTTCTTATGCCTTCTTTCTTCATAGAGATTCTCATCTTTGCTGCATCATTCCAGCCACGAGCAGCTGCATGCATTTTTGACATCAGAATATAAGCTCCCACATTCTCTGGATCAAGTTTAAATATTTCATTGGCAACCTTTTCAGCCAACTCAAGGTTATTCTGGACTCTACAAGCGGATAATAGCGTTGACCAAATACTACCTCTAGGTGTACTAGAAAATGAAACTTCTCTTGGCTTTACTTTAGCCATTAACATTGGACGAAACAACTTCAGATCTTCATCAAACATACCATTTTTGTACACACCCTGCAATAATCGAATTCCAAGAAATATCATCTATTTGAGGCAACAGATTAAATACACGGCATGAATCTTTGAAGGATCTAGAGCAGAGAAAGAACAATAGAAAAAATTAAAAAACTAATCTGGTAATTGCAATAAATTGGCTCTCACAGATCATGAGCTTGATTTCATTAATTTGTAAGCTTCAAAAATACAAAAATTTGTTTAAAAACTACAAAAGTTGTTTGCCTAACAGTATGGATCATCATACACAGATCCATCATGCTACCTAAATTGATAAGAAGACAGAACATGTTGCAAAAGTTGCAGTAGAGATGCCCATACCTAGTTGCTTCAACCACTAACTGTCACGCCCCGAGACCAAGACGCAACACGGTTATATTATCTTGAAGTAAAACCTAAAGTAATACGAAGCCTTTTTTTTAATCATTCTAAAATTCTTTAATAAACTGATATAGTCTGTCAAGTAAAATTCATATCTTTAATCCAACTAATGATACATCTTTATATATTCAAATAAAAATCATATATAATACAAAACTATCTCATAAGATTTCATTGGCCAACATTTTCTTCGACGACTAAGTTATCTTTTTCATTTGATCCTCTAGCTTTTCACAAAACTAAGCAAAGTTATCACTTACTCATCTGTAACGAAAAAGTAAAAGGGGAATGAGCAAACCACAGCTCAGCAAGTATAGGCTCACACACCTTATTGGATCAAGCATTATTTTTATACATATCATATAGATCATTCAAAATATTTGTCAAATCATAATGTCAAAATATTTCAAGATCATCGTTTTGTCAAATATTTCATAAATTCATAAATCAATGTCAAAATATGTCACTTCATAAATAATTACAAAATATGCTATGATTTAAATATTGTAATCAAACCAAATCATGGATCAATCATTAAAAATTATCGTAAATCATCATCATCATAAATCATCATTATCAATCGTTTATCATTAGCTATAGTCACTGTTATAACCCGTGACATTGGAAGTAGCGACAATTTTATTCTCATGATTATTGTTAATTATTATAACCCACTAGCCAAGGCCTTACGCTAACTACTATAACCGGTTAGCCAGGGCCATAGAATTAGTTCTGGTGTCGATGATCTCACTTCTTAGGAATGTAAAAATATAGCCATCATAAAATCATTCTTTAAACATATATCATTTTCATATTTCATTCATAAGCATGATCCATCATTTATATATTGAAACACAAAATAATCATATGCTTGATCCTATTTTCATACATAAAAAATAATAAAATAAAATATTCATTCATTTAGAAACATACATATATACATAGTTTCAAAAACAAGCAAAGTATGTGAGATTTTATTTACCTCTTTTCGATTCCATCATTTAGTTTTTCTCTCAAATAATTAATGCCTTATTCAAGATAATTTTAAGATAATAGAAATTAATCAACCCATTTGAGACCGCTTATACCAAAATAATTAAATTAACTCGAATAACTAATTCTGGCAGCTTGTGCTACTTTCACTAAAATGACCATATCTCAAGATATTTAAATCGAAATTAAAATCTCTTTAATGGTTAGAAACTAGACTTGAGAAGTTTTCTAACCATATATGGCTCATCTCATGATTCTTTATGGATTAATTATAACAATTTTTGCAATCCACCCTGTATACCTTCTCATAAAAATTACATATTTATTCATAAGAAACTCCAAATTCAATTTCACTTGTTTCATTCGAAAGTAGACTCAATAAGCTTTTCAAACATATATGGCTTAATCTGTAAATCCTTTTATAAAAATTAAGAGGAATTTCGTAATTCCTCCATACTGTTGTTACTAGGCAGCCTGCACATCTTTAGGTAAAAATTAGATAATTCTTCATAAAAAACTTAAATTCAACTTCCGTGTTTGTTTCATTAGAAAGTAAATTTAATATGCTTTCCAACGACATATAACAATTATAGCAGTATTTAATCATTTAATACAGAATATAACCTTAATCTATTATTGCAAACACATGGTTCATATCAAAATTCATACGAAACAAAAATTTTCCTTTCTGTTCCTATCAAATTTTTGTTTCAGCAATAAATTTATATTATCAACTTTTTCAACACTTAATTTGACTTTAATTAAAGCCTAAATTATCTACCTGAAGAGGGATAATGAAAACCCTAAAATTTTAAGGTTTCTCGATTACAATTTACACCTCAAGACTTAACAATCAATATTTCAAAATTGAAAGAGATTATTTACTCACTTCTAATAGATAATTCTCTTTGTAGATTTGTTCTTTTCCCTTCACTTGGAATCCTTCAATTTATCTTTTCTGTATAAGAAGCAGAAGAGAAATAAGTTTGTATTTTTTTTTTGATTAATCATCGACTGAAAACTGAATAATTTAACCTTATTAATAAAAATTGAGTTATTTATCAATAGGTCCTCTGCATTTCTCAATATTTATAAAGAGTCCTTCCACTTATAAAAATATTTGAAATAATCCTTTTTCTTTCTTTTTTTAACGGGTATTACACTAGCAATCTTCAATCCGAGCACAATTGGCATACATATCAATCACACTACTACCTATATACAAATCAGAATCAAACCTATGTCTAATAGCATATCCATGAATCTCCTTTCCTTTCATGATATCCACATACTCTGCAAATACAGGAAGTACGCTGGACAAAGTAAATGAATCAGGTTTCATGTTAGCATTCCCCATCTCCCTAACCATCCTCAAAGCTTATTCATACATTCCATTTTGTGCATTCCCTTCAATTACCGTATTCCATGAAACGACATCCCTTTATGGCATCATCTTAAAAACCTTTGTCACACTATCCAGTTGAGAATATATTATGGTTATATGCAATTTAAAAAGAATTTTTTTTGTTAATCATAGCTTCATCATGAATATGTGCTGGTTTCATAAACTTACAATTTCATGTTGATCAAATGGAAAAGTTCTGAATGGGTGTATCTTTTGTTCTCTTTTCTTGATGATATATAAATATATATAAGCTCCTTATTATATGTTGGTCGGTATCTTCTATTCTAATTATATTATTTGGCCCATTTTATATTGTTTTTAGCATTTTAGTGTGAAATGCTGGCTTTCTTTAAAGGTTTTGAACTTCCTTTTCCGAATGTGGGTCTTGTTGTTATGGCAATTCAAATTCCCCAGTGGTGGAATTTAATACGTAACATAATTTTTTCCCCCAATTTTTACGCAGGTGGAATAAAGTGCCATAATTTTAAAAGAGGGCTAATGACCCATGGTTTCAAGAGTTATAGAGCGTTGGGGTCTATTGGTGCTGTAACAACAACTGGCCATGTACACTAGGGGAAGAAAATGCCTGGCAGCATGGGAGGAAGCAAAAGAAAGATCCGAAAGTTCAAGATTGTGGAAATTGACAATGAGCTTCGAGTTGTGATGATCAAAGGTGCTATCCCTGGTAAGCCAGGAAATCTGCTACGTATAACTCCGGCTAAGATTGTTGGGAAGAACATACCCAAGGACTAGTTTCACGTATTGTACTTTATTTGATTTTGGTTAGTCTTGCATCATTAAAAATGCTAATTCCTGTAAAATTTTTTTGCTTTCTGCTCTAGAAGTTTAGTATTTCAGTTGTGGAATCTTTTGATGCATTCTTTGGTGTATGGGCTTAAGTAGAAATCTACCATTTTTTGAGTTGATTCCCGAATTAAGGAATAGCTTCTCAATTTGTAAAGTTCTTAAATTGATCAGTCAATTCTACTTCTCAATATTCTTAGCGCATGTGTCCCCGTATTGAATTGTAGAATACATATCCTTATTTGCATCACCTGAAGTGCCTCAACTCCTACTATAAGGGGCTGACAATAGATATGGTGTTCCTT